AGTGAAACAAATATGAAATATGAAGTAATTATGAAGTAAAACTGCCAAACGAAACGGCGCAGAGGCACAAGCATTTGAAGTAGCGAAATTTCAGGTTTGGAAGAACGCAGTCAGGCACTGATCGAACGACTCGTTTCTGTTTCATGTCCACTGGATGAGTTGCGAAACCTGAGTGCACAGGCTAAAGTGGATTCTTCGGAGGAACGCTTCAGTAAATGGCCGATGCGAAAAGCCGATGTTGTCACAATGCAGACTGTCTTAGAAATTGCTGTTGAATGTGGTTTACGTGCTCCGAGATGTTGGAACGATATCATTCGGTCCGTTTTGACTGCATTTTGGTGAAAACTGTAGTAATCGTATACGAAGGATGAAGCTATAAATAGTTCTGTGAGTTCAGAATATCTAAAGCCGAGATAGTTTTCCATAGCGGTTAACATGGGATCAGTGATTCTAGCCTATATAGAATATAAATTTAGTCAGCGGAAGGGATTTTTGCATCCGTGCATTTCAGAAAACGCATGTTGATGAGAGGTTGCCTGTGTCTGCGTCTATGCCGATTTTGCTAACTCGGGAACCAGGAAAGCTAGAAAGCGGAAATTTTAAGGATATGTTCCTCAAACCCAGCCCCCAGGTGTGGGTGGTCCCCAATACGAGCCCGTGAAATCTTTTTTGGATAAGTTGCTTATTCGGTACCTGAAAAGTTAGAAGACTCTAATTTTTAGAGAGATGCTTCCTGACAGTCGTGGCGTCCAGTTTCAATTCTTTTAGCAAGAAACATCGGCCAGAAAAAAATAGTGCCGTTAGCGACAAAAATCTGCGGAGAACTATGCAAAAAATGCATCTTTGTACCGGCAGTCGATGCACTGGCCATTTATTTTATCATAACGTTTGTTTCAGTTGCACCGAATACATTTGGGAAGTGGAAAAATTTTTGTTTGGCACAGCGGCACCGGAACACGGTGGTAGCCGTAGCTGGATGTCGCCAGGCCCCGGGAATACATATCAAAATCCGGCAAATAACGCCAAATCAATCGATGATATTTTGCCAAGCGGCAGCAGCAGCTGTGATATTCTCAGCACTCATATTGCTGCCCGAATTTTCCACTTGCTGATTACCATGACAGACAGGTAATTATTCGTTTTTAAGGGAAATAAGTGGAAATTGGAAATGGAACAAACAATTAACAACTGAGTGGATTTAATACTTCTTCAGGGATCGCAGAGAATTAGGCAAATAATTAGTGAAATTTAGTGGATATTTAGAGGAATTCAGCGAATAATTAAAGAATGAGAATTCAGAATTTATTAAGAAAAAATTTGACCTTTTATTCAGTGTCGACACATTGATCCGTTTCTATCTTTAATTATGGTAATGGTAAGAATGTGTACGACTTAATGGATGGAAACATTTCTTACCATTTAAAAAAATTTTTTTTTCAACATTTTATCTTATTATCATTAATATACTAGGAATACAAAACATCTCGAGATACCATTGTGCGTATCTTGTTTTAGTTATATTACTATATGCTCCCTCACGCTTGGCGCAACTCTGCCAGGCTTTTCGTTCATGTATGTATGCTACTTTGGCGGATACACCGGCTGAGTGATCGTTTACTTCCTCTCAAATACCAACTAAAATGCGCGACACTCGCTCGTTGTTAGCAGAGCGAGTATGGCGATTTTGCTGCCCATGGCATTTTAATTCCTTGTTTGAAGCCTGATTGTTTATATGGTCACGAACAGGTGCGTGGATTCGTGTAAAGTTTTTTGCAAAAATAAGAATGAAAATTTATCGAAAATTGCGCTAGTTATACCGAAATATACCCACAATTGATGTGTTCCGCCATATCACTACAGCAAAACAACTGAAATCGGACTGCAGAGGTAAAGACTGATGCAGTGGTGGGATCTGCCGGAACGGCTATATGGAATTCTGTGGATGAGAGAAGCCCAAAAAAACTTTGAGAGAAGCCCAAAGGAGAAGTTTGTCAAGCAGCATCATTGTCATGAGGGAGCGGGATGGCAAAATATCTGCTGTTCGAAGGATTAAACAAAACTTCGATGACTTTTTTTTAGATTTATTAGATTTATTTGAATTTCTGATTGACCAAATTTAGCATTTACGAACGCTTTGGGGAAGAGCTGAATTTGGTTTCACTATGCGAACTTATACAAAGTTTGGTGGCAGCAAGCGAAAGTCGTTTACAGTATTCAAGTTCACAGCCCTCCAGTTCTCTGGTCGATCCAACAGCGCTTCTTCGTCGAATAACAACAATACTTGTTACTCTGTCAAAAAGACCCCTGATACATGCGATGAAAATTTGGCCAAAAGTCACTCCTCATATTGTTCAGGTCGTTTTTTAGCTTTATTCTAGAAATTATTTCTTTAAGAGCCATAAATTTGTAAGTCATTCTAAATTAGACGAAACGAGCGTTAGGATCGCCAGCAAACTGATCAGCAGGTGTTGTGGCTCGTATAAAGCACCTAGAAAATTTACCAGTCGCATAGCTGAAGATGCGGATTACAGCTTTTCTAAGTATTTAAGTATAAGGGCTTTGTTCGTTGAAATAATTTTAAAGTTCTGCTACCACTAGGAGAGTTCCCAGATTTGATTCGTAGCAAAGATTATTGTTGTTAGCGTTATTATTATTATTGTTGTTATTATTATTGTTATTGTTATTATTATTATTATGATTATGAGAGAATTTCATTATTTGAGGGCGAGAAATCCGCATTTCATTATTTGAGGGCCGAGAAATTCATTATTTGATTTAACAATGAGTAACGTATAACAAAGCTGTGAATTTCACTTACCCTAACTTATTAGTTCATTTTCTAAACGCATTATATTTGTGCGGACCAGACAACCATTACCTGTCCACGTACAATCAAGTAACTTCAAATTCAGCTGCCAGGTGTGCGTGGTTCTCACTTACGGGTCCGCAAAAATTTTTGATGG